GTCTCAGTCCTTATTCCTTGACATATCTGCAGTATTTCATATACCTTTAAAATATTATATATATATCTCTTTAAAAAATTACTTTATTCACTAGCATACAGTGGTTTTTCTTCTACCCTAAAAGTGCTACTTATTTGTGTCCTTAACTTGTTCTTCTTAATCATTTGACCTCTAATGTTAGCGTTTAGTCCCAGTGCTCTTGTAGGCATTCATTTTCTTTTAATCTCATTTAGATATTGTCATTATAATGATGATTAGCAAATGTGTATCTCCACTGTGGATCTTTTCTTTAATCTCCTGACTTGTATATCAACAACTGCCAATATATCATTTCCTCAGTGGATTATGGGAAAAGCATGTATCCTCACACTAAACAGTAACTAGCAGTACCTTTGATTAAGTAGCTTATCATCTGGTATAATTAGATGAAGAAAAAAAGACAATGACTTACCCTAATAAACACATAAGAATGTTAAAGTGAAATAAAGAATCAGGCTCAAGATCAACCTGGAGGAATTCAGATTAGACACAGTGATGCTTTTTTTCGATAATAGGCAACATGTGATACTGGATTAGGCAACAACAATAACAACAACAACAACAACAACAACAACAACAAAAGCTGTAGAAATTCTAATCCAAGATATATGTCTTCCGACACTATTCTTCTTCCGTGTTTCCTTCCTTCTCCCTGAATTGCTCTCCCCAAGAATCTGGCACAATTTGGTTACAAATTTTGTCTAAAGGTTAGGCAGCTATTAACCCCTTGGTGCAAGACCATGGTGACCGCATTTCCTGCCTTAAAAAAAGTCTAGCCTTTAAAAGAAGACCCTGACATGACTGATATGTCTCCCCAGAGATCTTATTTGCAAATTAACCACTGTTTTTAGCAGTTTGGACCATCGGTGCTCTGAGCCATGCCACAGCCTCTCTTGACCAAAAAAACCTTCCCAGGGTGGGAGTAAATGCAACAAGAAGACCTCAGATTCAGGAACTATGCTCTCGTGTTCTGTCCAGTCTTCTCCATGACTGCTGACTAATGAGTCTGGGGTGAGCATTATATGGATGAGGTAGGCGGAAAATAAGGCTGAAGACTGTTCTGTGAAGCCAGGAGCAGAGGTAGGTAAAGAGAGAATTGACAATCCAGATGTTCTGATGTATTTGGCTACTCTGGAGATCATCCAGACTTTTCCCTGGCTCCATTATAGAAACTAGTTCCTTGAATTTCTCATGTTATTTATTTATTTATTTATTTTTTTGAGATGGAGTCTTGCTCTGTCACCCAGGCTAGAGTGCAATGGCACGATCTTGGCTCACTGCAACCTCTACCTCCCGGGTTTGTGCGATTCTCCTGCCTCAGCCTCCTGAGTTGCTGGGAATTACAAGAGTGGGCCGCAACGCCTGGTTAATTTTTTTGTATTTTTAGTAGAGATGGGGTTTCACCATGTTGGTCAGGCTGGTCTCAATCTCCTGACCTCAGGTGATCCACCTGCCTCAGCCTCCCAAAGTGGTGGGATTACAGGCATGAGCCACCATTCCTGGCCACTCAGGTGTTTAAGTAGACTTAATGTGTACCAAATTATCATTAATAAATCCTTTGCTTTGCGCTTGAATCCCTCTTCTTGCAGTTAGAGATTTTAGTCTCTTGCTGTTTCATTATGGGCTCAAGGCAAGCCAGTCAGATCTCTGGAGCAGACTTTCTTAAAACAATGATGGAGTCTGAATTTTTTTTTTAAAATAATTTTTATGCATATGTTTAAGGTATAAAACATGATGTTATACAATACATATAAATAATAAAATGGTTACTGTAGTGAAGCACAATAGTTGCATCTTAATCTCACTTGTATCTGTCAGGCTAGCCAGGCAGAAGTGAAGTTATATGTATTTGTTAGTAACTTTATACCTGAACAGATAGGACCCTAGTAGTGTTTTCCAAAAATGTATCTGTCTGATTTCTTGTCTTCTCAGTTTCTGAGCATACCTGGTATCCCCCAAATCTCATTTCCTCCACGTAAGTAATCCTGGAATTTTGTGTGCAGAAACTTTTGATGACTGCTAAGCTAGAAATCCTTGCTGCAGCATTCCTAGGTTTGTTTCTATCCAGGGCAAAGTCAGGTGACTGCCTCATTAAACACACTAACAGAACTTCTTCCTTTAATTAGATAAGCATTCCTTCATCCTTACTCTGCTCTTAATGGCAGCATAGAACACACTGGCTCCTTTTGTGTTGAAGAACCTCACAATGTCACAATAGTTCCTTGACCTCACAGGAAATTAATGAGTGGACATCAATGTAGTACTATATTGGTGTGATTGGGATTACTGGGGAGCCATCTCATTTCATATCCTGCGAGAATGCACCTCATTCAGCTGAGGACCAGTCTTGGATCTTTGAAGAGAGTATTTGACTTAGAAGAGACTGAAACCACACTGTCTTCACCCTTGTATTATGGACTCAAGCCTATGTGTTTTTCAACTTGAGGAACTAAATGCAGTTTCCTCTTTTGAGAGGTGAGTACATCGTTAGAGAAAGGGACTCAGAGATTTCAAAATCATGAGAAATCACAGCGAATATTTTAGTTAGTGCTTATGAAGTTACAGAGACTATATTATACACTTCACATGCTTTTTCTCAATTAAATCTCCATTAAACTCTATCAAGTATTGTCTGAATTTTATAATAGGAAATTGAGGACTATGGGGAATAAGGAAATTGCTCAAAGTAATACAGTTAGCAAGTTAATGTAATAGAGCAATATTTTGAACCTAGGAGGTCTGAACATAGGCCCTGATCTCGTATTTTTCAGACTAGACTACAGAAGGAGAGCTTCAGGAGTCAAGTCATAGAAGAGTTGTTTGAAGCATTTGGGGAAGACTCAGATTTAGAGATGAATTTCATTTTCTCAGGGAAGCCTGCCCTAAGTAGAAACTGTCTCATGCAACTCTTCATCATAGCATATATCAATTTGGCATTTTATGCATGTATTGGGAATTATTTGATTAATTTTGTCTTCTTATTAGACTATAAACTTAGTAGATCATTGAATATGTATGTTCTTACTCTTCAATGTGTATTTCAAACATCTAGAAGAATAACTGGTACATAATAATATTTCTTTGTCAAAAATATTTTGACAAGTAAATGAAAGGAAAAAGCAGCCTTCGAAAGAACATAAAATTGGAAGCTTAAGACAATGAAGAGAAATCATAGTGTTTAATGTGGGTTGTGGTTATAGACATTGACTCACTAAAAAGAAAAGCATTCTTAAGCTCAGAAAGTCTGAAGTTGAGAATGGCTGCCTCAAAAAAGGCAGACTTATACATCACTAAATGATTCCCTGTCATTGGAGATGTATAAGCAACTTCCATGTAATCACTTTTCACAAGATACTACATTTGGGAGTCAACGCCATATAATTAGTGAACTACATATGCTTTGTAATTTACTTCCCAACTAGGTGACAATATTATGTTCCATTGGTTTATCAATAAAGTAAAATAAATAAAAAGAAAATATAAAAAACTTAGATATTGCCAGAAACCAAAAGCATTCATATTTTTAAAAAATTTTTGAGGATGTATCAAGTTAAAGTAAACAAAATAACTTTATAAGTAATTAAAACTTGTAATAATGTTATTATGTGTACAATTTACAGTGACCATTAACATAAAGTTAGTATAAACTTGCAGTAGTATACGAGAAATGCTTATTATAGTTACTAAAACAAAATTTATAATGCTATATGAATTTATTCATATGAATAAATACTATATGAGTTCAAATGCTATATGAGTTTATTTTCACTATATTCAATTGAGCAGGAGATTAAAAGAAAAATATTCTTTTCTTAAAATTTTTAAATTTTAGCTTCAGGGGTACATGCACAGTTTTGTTATATAGGTAAGTTTGTGTCTCAGGGGTTTGCTGTACAGATTATTTCCTTACTCAGGTACTAAGCCTGGTGCCCAATACTTATTTTTTCTACTTCTCTCCCTCCTCCCACTCTTCACCCTCAAGCAAGTCCCAGTGTCTGTTGTTTCCTAAAACAAGGATATTCTTTATAATTATTATAGAACTCTTTAATCCTATCTTAGGTTCTTCCACATTCTAAAATTCTTTTTAGGTGAGAATGACTGGATGAAGTTAACATTAATATCCCTTCTAGAATCAAGAATCTTTGAACCTCTAAGACTGGCCTTCAACAAGGTAAGAGTGATGGTTCTGACTTCACCTACAGGAGTCCAGATTTTTTTTCTTATTTTTCTTTCCTATTTTCTTATTTTTCTTTCTATTGGCATAACCTCAAACCACAGAGCAGGCACTCTGAGAAACTCCCTGATTTAAGTCACCTGTAAATCCCCAGTCTCTCCTTTTCTTCTTTCCTTCCCATGGCATGCTTTATCTGCTTAAGTATTTCCTGCAGCACACACTGTGTGGCTATTGGACTTACTGGTCCCAAAGTATCATTACCCTAAAGTATTATATTCTAAAGCTGGGAAAACAGACTAGGATTAATTAAAAAACAGATAGAAATGTATTATACCGATTAGGTTATAAATCTGCATAAATGTATTATACAGATTAGGTTAAGTACTGAATCAGAGGTGATAAGGAGCACCTATTAGAACATACAGGATGAACAGAACATGGGAGGAATCACAGATCCAGCAAGGGAAGATCTGGTCTGATTCATAAGGAAGGCCCCCAAGAGGGAACACTATTTTGCAAACATGGTCACTTACCCAAGTTTGTTAAGAAATTCAATTATTACCAGCCTGGCCAATATGGTGAAACCCCTCCTCTACTAAAAATACAAAAATTAGTGGAGCATGGTGGTGCATGCTTGTAGTTCCAGCTATTCCAGAGACTGAGGCACGAGACTTGCTTCAGCCCGGGAGGCAGAGGTTGCAGTAAGCCAAGATCACACCACTGAACTCTAGACGACAGAGCAAGACTGTCTCCAGAAAAAAAAGAAAAGAAATTTAATTACTGCATTTAATCTTTTATTAATTGTTTATTAAATGTTATTTGTTGGCCTAATGTATATAAGGCATAGATGTTGAATACAGAGAACAAAAAACGAGACTCAGAAATTTCACAGTGTAATGGGAAGAGAGATATATACATACTTATTAAACAATTTTATATTTCCAAAGTGAGACACTCTGAAGACGCACAGTTCACTCTTCATAGGAGAAGGGATTATAGAAGGACTTCAAAGAGAAAAATGTATTCAGCTGGTTTTTGAAAGACTGTTAGGAACTATCCAGGTGACCAAATGAAAACAGCCCTTCTATGCAGGAAAAACACCAAATAAAAATGAATACTGGTGTAAGAAAGCATGTTTTTAGACACTTCATGATGCATATATAATTGGAACATGAAATATATGGTGAAATGTGGTGCTAAAAAATGCTAGTTAGCAAGAGCAATTGTATCAGACCCCCAGAAAGAGACAGATTACACACTGAAATAATTTGAGGCGAATGTAATACAGAAACCATTTACAAAGGTGTGGTTATGTGTAAGAAAACCACAAGTGCTTGTGATATTGGTTAAGTAGCAGTAGGCACTATTACAACCATTGGATTAAAGACACAAGAGGAAGATATGATTGCCAGAGAGAACCAGAGCCAGAGAAGTCTTAGATAGGGATGACATTAGCTTGCAACAGCTTTCTTGGGAGAATACTGAAGGAATAAACATCTGACTGTTTTCTTCCTCCCTCCTATCTCTTGTTGGTGTTTTCTATTGCCAAATTCAGCCAGAAGTGAGAAGGCAAGGGAACCTGTTCATGTAGTCCATAGAGGTCAATGTTTCAGAGCTCAGAACATGATAGAAAGTGGTGGAGGGTAGAACAGAGGAGGTTAATGTAAGGTAGTCTGCACAACATAAATGTAGAGAGATCATATTTATATTACAGTTGGTTATATTCACATGATAGAATATTTAGGCAGCAATGCAGAGGCTCCACTCGAAGATGGAAATCCTGGAAGTGAACATATTAGTGACAAAGCTATTTTAATAACAGAGACAATAAGTGAGGAGGGCATGAATTTGAGTAAAATTGGTGGGAATGAAGAAAGGCAAGAAATTGAATGAATAATTAAGAGGAAGAAATGGCTTCTAGGATGACGTTATTTTATTTTTAACCACTTTTAGGAAAATAAGGCCTCTGTTCTCTGCATTATTATGTTCTCTGCATCTATCCCCAATGACACTGCCCTCAACCCTTCAACATTTATTCTGTTTGAAATCCCAGGGATGCAAGACCAACATGTTTGTATGTCCTTGCTCTGATGGGAAATGGTACCATCCTGTACATCATTATGACAGACAGAACTTTGCACGAGCCAGTGTACCTTTTCCTGTGCCTGCTTTCCATCACTGACCTGGTACTTTGTTTGTCTACATTGCCCAAAATGCTAACAATCTTCTGACTTAGGTCTCACATGATTTCCTACTATGGCTGCCTCACCCAGATGTTTTTTGTTCATGGAGTCTTTGCCACAGAGTCAGCTGTTCTGTTGGCCATGGCTTTTGATCGCTATGTGGCCATCTGCTGTCCACTTCATTATGCATCCATCCTCAATGCCACCATGATTGGGAAGGTTGGTGTAGCATGTGTGATTCATGGTCTTCTCTTTGTTTTCCCCTTTGTCATCTTCACTGAACGCTTACCCTTCTGTGGACGTCACATCATTCCCCACACCTACTGTGAGCACACGGGCATAGCCAAGCTTGCCTGTGCCAGCATCAAGCCCAACACCATTTATGGTCTCACTGTGGCACTTTCAATCACTGGCATGGATGTGGTCCTCATTGCCTCCTCTTGCCTCCTGATCCTGCTGACTGTGCTGCGCTTGCACTCTGAGGATGCTCAGCTCTGAGCATTTAGTACTTGCAGAGCCCACATTTGTGTGATTCTTATTTTCTATATTCCTGCCCTTTTTTCCCCTTTTTCACTCACCGTTTTGGCCACCAAGTACCCCCTCACGTCCACATTGTACTTGCAAATCTCTATCTCCTTGGGCCTCCTGTTCTCAACCCCCTGGTCTAAGGCATCAACACTAGACAGATTCGCCTGAGACTATTTGGCTTTTTTTTATGAGGAGGAGGTAACTATACTCTCTACATGCACAGAGGATTAATGGAAAAAGTTATAATTAATCTTTTACTTTCTTTAGCACCTCTTATCCTTGGACTAGAGGTTTCTACTTCTGCTAATTCTAGCACACCAGTATCATGTATTATTGGAGAGTTTTTGAAGTATTTGTGAGAAACCATCTATACCTGCTAAATATGCAGAATATCATTTTTCTATAAAATTATCCTGTGACCTGTTAATGGGCCTATAGGTATTGAATATTTCCAGGGAAAGGCAATGTAGTTCACTTGAAAGTAAAAGGCAAGGAGAGTTATTCTCTCCATGTAGTGAAATCTCATATGCTAGAGTTGAGGAATCGAGAACACACACACACACACACACACACACACACACACACACACAATTAATTAATTATTGCCAGCATTTTCTTAGACCAGGAGAGTCTTCAGTGAGAGTTTCAGCCTAGACCAGAGATTGCTGTGAGAACTCAACACCAAGGATTAGGTTGACAATACATGAGGAGGACTACAGGGGGAGAAGTCTGAAAGCACATAATTCCATAGGAACCCCATCATATTAGTTTCTCAAGGAAGTAGTCCAAAATATGTCACTTTTGGCCAGATGTGGTGGCTTCTATCTGTAATCCTAGCATTTTGAGAGGCCAAGGTGGGAGGATTGCTTGAGCTTAGGAATTCAAGACTAGCCTGGGCATCATGGCTAGACCCTGTCTCCGCAAAAAATTAAAAATTTAGCCAGGCGTGGTATCATGTGTCTGTAGTCCTAGCTACTTGGGAGGCTGAGGCGGGGGATCACTTGAGCCTAGGAGGTTGAGGCTGCAGTGAGCCATGTTTGTGCTACTACATTCCAGCACAGGGAACAGAGTGAGACCCTATCTTAAAATAAAATAATAATAAAAATGTCACTTTGTAGCTAATATAGTCACCTCCTGACTGATGACCTTTGCATTTTTCCTGGCATTTTAAGTGTGATGGACTTATCATGTAAATTATTCTGAGAGGCACTGTGAACTTGATCTAACCTTTTGTTTCCTCCATTAGTCTATAGCACTTTGGGTATACAAGGGTGCCTAGGACATTGAGTTTCCTGTTAATGCTATCCAGACTAATTGGATGACAGTAAACCTTCCCCAAACAGCTGGCTGGCATGTTTTTAGCACAGGCTTAACTTCCACAAGAATTGATGTTCCCCCACTTGGAAAAAATAAATGCGAGTAACCAGTCTATTCTCCTATGTAACGCAATAATATTCTCCAGCATCAATTTTTCATCATATAGTGCTTATTACCAGAAACTCTTGATCTTTTAAGGCATTCATTCTACTTTTCAACTTCAGTATCTAAGTTTCTTTTTTTTCTAAGAGTCTGAGATTGATCCCACCCACAGTTAACTTAGTTTGTAATGTGGTGTTTGATAAATAGGATCCTATAAACAGAGACCACAGTTTCTTTTATTATGTTATAGTAAAATATATATAACATAAACTTTGTTATTTTAACCATTTTTAAGTGTATGGTTTGTGACATTAATTACATTTACAATATTGTGTGACTATTACCATTATGTCCAAGACTTTTTATCACCTCAAACAGAAACTCTGTAACCACTAAGCAATAACTCCCCATTTCTCCTTCTACTCATGCCTGGAAATTTCTAATCTTCTTCTGGAAGAGAAAAACCTTATGCAGAAACTTTAGAAATACTCTTCATTTATTTTTTCTTATAGTTGAACATCTGTTCAGAAATATTTCTTGAGGATCAACTATATTCTAGACAATAATATAATTTCACAGGTGACTAAGGCCCAGTGTCAGACTTTAGAAAACCCACAATTTAGAAAGAGAGGAAATAATGTAATAACAACAAAATATGGCATTTTCAGTGATATAGTATAAAAGATACCATGGGAGTGAAGAGGAAAGTATGCATATGTTAAATAATGATATTTTGGACACTGAAGTAATTATCATTTTATGGATTCATCTTAATTCTAGACCCTTTTTTCCACTGGGCTGAAGCAAAAAGGTGCCATGTGTCCATAACGTGAGATTTTTTTTTTTTTTTTTGAGACTGAGTCTCCCTCTATTGCCCAGGAGTGCCCTCTATTGCTGGAGTGCAGTGGCGCTATCTCTGCTCACTGCAAACTCCACCTCCTGGGTTCAAACCATCCTTGTGCCTCAGCCTCCTGCGTAGCTGGGATTACAGGTGCCCGCCACCACGCCTAGCTAATTTTTGTATTTTTAGTAGAGACAGGTTTCACCATGTTGGCCAGGCTCATCTTGAACTCCTGACCTCAAGTGATCCACCTGCCTTGGCCTCCCAAAGTACTGGGATTATAGATGTGAGCCACCACTCCCGGTGAGAGAATATTTTTTCATCTTCTCATGGTTCTCATGTTGACTAAGTAAGCCATTTCTATGGAAAATTTTGTATCAAAAATTAATTATAAAAAGCTGCTGCTTACATATTAAGGAAAGAAAAATTAAACAACTATGAAGACTATCTCCTCTGTTGGAAGTTATTAAAACTCACTTACTTAAGACAACAGGAAATATATCTATACTCAAAACTTAGGTTTATTAATCCTGCTACAGCAAGCAAGAAAGCATTCCAAAAGAGCCCCTGGGTAACTCAAAAGAGTTGGGAGGGGATTCTTATATGATGTGAACTTGTTGCGCTTGATAACTTTAAGGAGAGATCTTGGAAGTTTGGGAGGATTCCAGTTTGGATGTGGTCAAGCAATATGGGTAATTTGGAATTGTATATCAATATTTTCTAAATCTAGGAAATGTGAGAACAAAAGTGGGCTAGAATTAACATTGGTAAAGCAAAAGCAGTTACCCATGTTAGCAAGAAGAGTAATTCTGATTGGCTTTCTCTCAGTCTTCTTCCAGACTTTGTCACAGAATGGCCTGTCTGTATTGTTCACATTCTTCAGGCTTTGTTTATGTTCAACAGCGAACAACATGTACTAAATTCTGGTGGATTTATTTTTTTAATCTTTCATTGTCCCCTTTTGGCCAAAAACAGATGAAAACAGCCTTCAACACATTAATTTGTGCATTCCAGTTAACCATTGTCAGAATTGTACTGATAGAAGGTTGCTCAGAAAACAGCCTGTAGTCCTGCATGTTTCTTTTGTTAAATGATAATCGTTGAATAACGTAATATGACAATGACTATGCAGCAGTATTTAAGACTTCAGACTGGTCTTGTATTGTACTGAACAAATGCCATACAGACTATGACCAGCAAATCAATGATTCATAGTTTATGTAGTAGGCTATGGAACCAGAGACCTAGATCACCAAACTCAGGCCACATAAAAACATAATCAAATTCCATTTCAGTTTATTTTTGAGATCCAGGAGGCTTTCCTTTAGCTTAACCACACTGTTTCACCTAAAAGGTGGTATTCGCATGGGTACTACAGAAGGTCTTAAATGTGCCAAATGTCTCCTTGGCTAGCTAAGAAGAAAATGGTTAGTGTTTTTCTGACTATGGGAGGAGCAGTCTGAGACAGTGGACAGGAAGAGGGAGTTAGCTCCCTTTCCAGGAACTTCCTGACTAACCCATACCTACTCATGTTGGAAGTCCATCTAGATGTTCTTCTCGGGAAAATACAGTTCACTAGAAGGTTATAGGTTTTAAATATTTGAAAATCTGTAGGCATTACTCCTTTGTTACAAGAGAGATTTATGTGTGTCAGGTACGCAGAAGTCCACCTTTAGAACACAAACATCATTGTCATTGTATCATTTATTACCACAAGATTGGAACAATTTTTTATTTTTTTCAAAAGGAGGAAATTATCTTTGGAATGACATCGAACCTATAAAACAGACTAGAGAGTACATGAAAATACTCACTACTGTAATAAAAATTGTCCCAATATTTGTCACTACCCCTACTGACCTTGAATATACTGCAAATGATGAAATAAATTTAGCTTATGTATTGTGTTGACTCTAGGTCCGGCCTAATATTTAAAATATTAACGATTGAGGTCAGTGACGTGAGGAAAGTATGATACCAAAAGGAACTTGAGGAAAAAAAGTTGTCTTCTTGAATATTTGAAGGAAGAGTTAATAATTGTTTGGGGGATGACAAATCCAGCATTCAGAGGAGTAGCTGTGGTCACACAGCTGTGGTCACACATGCCCCCCAACCCCAGCCCTATCCAGGTATTATTTTGCTTTAAATAGCAGAGAAACACATTATGAGATTAGGCTGTGATTACAGTTAAAACATGTTTAAATGCATTTAGAAACCCTTAGGCAACCACTAAGATATATCAAATTAAGATGATAAAAAATTTTAGCAATAAGACCAAAAAAAAGAACAGAGATACAAAAAGTTAATCTTGTTCTGTTGTCTTGGCATGAGAAAGTACACTTCACACCATCATCTGCTAATTAGAAAATTTCGGGTTAACCTTTGCCGTGTAAGGGTCATCTGCTTCTGGAAGATCCTGAAAAATCTTCAGTTTAAGGTTCCAATAAGTATGTACTTACTAACAGTTTTCATTGAAAAGGGCCAATTACATTGTGAGCTGGAAACATGTATGTAATAATCAATCCTTTGAGGCTTTACTGCTTTGCTGGTTGTTAACAGTACTTGAGAAATTTTCTCCAGTGTGAACCAATGTTAATATTTTTCTGGTGTTTCTAAAATATCTAGTTTCCTCTTTTACCATTATTTGTAGAAAATAAATAAGTGGCAGGTGAGGAAAAGTGGTTCTTATATGTCAATGATAAGCTTAAACAACTCCAGTCAGTGTATCATGTTAACCCGCATTATCAAAATCAAGAAGTAAATTCCCAATTGATACAAAACACGTAATTAACTTTTAAGAATTTTTAATCTGTAATCATTCTGGCAATAAGAATATATTATTGAAAATGAAGCCACTAATATTTAGGCCTCTTATTGATTCCATGATGTATATCATAAATACAGTTTCTGTGTCTATATTTGAACATAAACATAAATATGTTTTATTTAATGTGAAAAGTAAACAGTCATCAAAATATGTAAATCCTAATTTGGAAAGAGAAAAACACTTTCACAATAGAATTAATTGAAATTTCGGGAAGTCTTCAGGATTTTCTAGGTATAGAATCACATTGTCAACAAAGAGAGAATTTGACTTCTTCTTTCCCTATTTGGATGCCTTTTATTTCTTTCTCTTGCCTAATTCCTCTGGCTAGAACTTTCAGTACTAAGGGAATGATGAGAGTGAATAGGAATGATGAGTGTGGGCATCCTTGTCTTGTTTCAGTTTCAAGGGGAGTGGTTTCAGCTTTAGCCTGCTTAGTATGATGCTGGCTGTGGATTTGTCATTGATGACTCTTAATATTTTGAGGTGTGTTCTCCCATGCCTATTTGATTGAGGGGTTTTAGCATGGAGGAATGTGGGATTTTATTAAAATCTTTTTCTGCACCTATTGAGATAATTATGTCATTTTCTTTTTAAATTCTGTTTATGTGGCAAATCACATTTATTTATATGTATATGTTGAACCAACCTAGCATCCTAGGAATGAAGTCTACTTGATCATGATGAACTAATTTTTTGATGTGCTGCTGGATTTGGTTTGCTAGTAT